CGGGGAACGGCAGGTAACGGGGATGGGGCTCATGGCCTGGCTTTGCTCCAGCATGGGCAAAAACTGAGATCCTCCTGGCCCAGGCAGGCAGCCCCCAACCCCCCATCCGGCGGCTCCCCCAGCGCTGCACATCGTTTGTCACTGCGACAGGTCCAAACAAACCCGTCTGGGATTAATTAAGCTCCATCTTCGTTTCCTCTGGCGCTTTGCAGGGGGAAGGCAGAGGGGAGGCAGCAGCCGGGCGGGTGGGCTCTTGGCAGGCAGGGGCTACCTACCTTTGGGCAGGGGGGAAAGGGCAAGCAGGAACCCCCCCAATCTCCCCAGCCTCCCTCCCGTGTTAACATGGTGGGTTCCTGACAGTGTCCTGGCTGGCTGCAGGCCCCATCCTGGGAATGCGAGGCCAGGGATGTGCAGCATGGCCAGATCCAGCACTAGATGGCTGCTGCCACCTTGTGCACAGAGGGCTGCTCCCATCAACACCCTCTTCGTCCCCAAGTTCCCCCAAAAGATGGGCCCAAAGGCCCCCAGAGGCATCCCCAGGAGGGAGGGCTGGACTATGCCAGCAAGGAGAGAAATGGGAAACAATCAGCAAATAAAACCAGAGTCCCCCTGATTTATTAGCAGTTGGTTCAACAGGACCTCACGCCAGTGCCAAGGAGCCTCTCCCAGGGCAAAATGCCACATCCCCCCTGCCCTGGCCCCGCACTTGGGGTGAGGGGCAGCAACCCACACACTACATCCACTTCCATTAGCCACTGCTGCCGTCCTGCATCCCGCAGAGCAGCTCCATCCAAGGGGGAATTTGGGCTCTCATCCTGATAAACCCGTGATGGCTCAGCCACATTCTCCAGCTCTGGCAGCCAATCCCAGGGGTCAGGATGAGGCACAGGAGAGGCAGAGCCAGGGCAGCAGCTTGGTACAGCACCACCGGTATGGAGACACATCTCCAGCTGGGAATTGTCCCCCATTTCCCCACTGACCTTTGTCCATGTCATGGATGACAACCAAAGAGACCACGCAAAAACCCTCGGAGTTTAGGTACAAATTCTGGCACCAAAGAAAAACAACCCCCTGCAAAACGGGAACCAAACAAACCCTCCCCCTCCCCGCCACCCCCCAACGTTATTAAAATACTTTTGCTTTTAATATTCAAGAGGTTTGAAGTTCTCAGCATCCTTCCGACTGCCGTTATCCCAACGTCCACCCTCTCCTCGAGGGCTGGTTCTGCTCTGTGCCGGGGATGCCGGGCACCACTCGGCTTTACCACAGGAAACACCACATGTGTACAAGATTGCAAAGAGGGGGCTGGGGAGGATGGGAGTGTGCCAGGGAGCACAGCAGGACCCAGCACACCGGGACCCAGCACACCAGCCCCTTCTCTTGCTTGGCCGCAGTCCCACTGCGCTGCCCACAGAGATGGAGGAAGAAGTTGAGGAGCTCAAAACCAAATGGAGATGACAACAGAAATTGTGCCCGATTCTTCAAAAGAAAAATCCACCTTGTTCGCAGCTTTTCCAAGTAGGTGTTGGGAGGAGTCTGGCAAACTCTCCTGCTTCCTGCTGTGAGGCTGATGGCAGGAGCAGGTCTGGGTCTCTCTATGCTTTTAGTCTCCACCAGCTCCATTCTCCTGCTCTAGCTCAGCAAAGTCATCTCCAGCATGCCCAGAGCAGCTCCTCCACCCTTGGAGCAGAAGGTGAGGGATGGCTCTGGCACTGACTCCCCTGGGCCCACTTTGGGCAGAGAAAGCAGGCATTTGTGCCGCTTCCCCACGTTGCAGCAGGGTGGGAAGGGACCTCAGCAATAGGCCCAAGAGTTAAAAAAGGAAAAGAAAATAAAATGAAAGGGGCAGGCAGAGAAGTGGCAGCACAGGGACCACAGAGGCAGGGCAGTGCTTGGGCAGCCCCTGGCACAGCCGTCTGGTCCCGGGGGTCCCCTCCGAGGTGGCAGTTGGGTATTGCTGAGGGGGTCCCCCCGGGCAGGGGGGTCGGCCCCACTCAGGTATTGCTGGGTGGGCGGCGGGCGGCAGCTACCTGGTGCTCTGCAGCTCCTCCCGCAGCCAGCTGGGCAGCGCCTGCCCCATTTTGTACAGGAGCTTGGAGAGCTCAATGTTATGGTCCCTGTAATAGTCCCGCAGGAAGGCGCGCGACTGCAACAGAAAACAGAGAGGAGGGTCAGGGGGACCAGCTCCGAGCCCACCAACCCAGTATGGACCCCCCTGGCCCTGCTCGGGACTGTCCCAGGAGACTTTCTGCATACTCACATCTGAATCCATCTCAGGGTACTTCCTCCCTTTGCTCTTTCCCAAGCATTTTGTCTTCCCTCCATCCAGAAGCTGACACCAGAATCCTTTCTTTGGATCAAACCTGTGAAGGAAGAGCTTTGGTTCACCCCTCTTGCCCCCCCATTTCTTCTGCAGGCAAGCACACTGCCCAGCCCTGCATGGGGGCACCTCTGAACCCAAACTAACACCTCATTATTGACCCCCTGGCACGGCAGGTTCCCTGTACAGCTGCACAGCAATTGCCCCAACAAGTTTCACTCATCACCAAATCTCCCTGCTGAGGGACAGAAGTCTACCTGGGTTTAATTATTATTATTTTTTTTTGGATGCCCTCCAGAGCCCCCCAGCACCTGGATGCAGACTCAGAGAAGTCACATAAATAGGCAAGTTGTCTGCAAAGGTAAATAGTTGGGTTTTTTTCTAGGAAGTTCCTCCTTTCCACAGGATTTAATGTTGGGAAGGCTCAGAGTTAGGTGACATCCATGGAGGTGCCACATGGTCAGCAGCAAGAGCTGCTCTCTGCAGTGCATGCACAAGGAGCTGGGGTACTAGGGCTCAACACTGTCACATGCAGCACAAATGCACCCCTGAAACCCAAAAGCTGCTCCTGTGCTGCCCAGGGTGACACCAATGTCCCCGGTGCTGTGTCTGGGTAAGCACAACAAAGCAAGGTGCTTGTTCAATGCTGCTTCTGATTGTAGCTCCAGTAGTGTAAGCCACAGCCACGAGGAGCTGCTGTTTCAGCCTCAGTTGACACCCTCGTCCCATCAAAACCAGTGAAAGCTCTATGGGGAGCCCCAGGGCTGGGGCTACCCCAGGACAGTGCTGGGTACCCCCAAGGGCAACCTGCTGCAAGTTGGAGGAAGGAGAAGCTCAGGGAAGGACTCACGCCAACGTCTTGTGATAATCAATGAAGTTGGTCACGCTGAGGAACTTCTGGACCTTCTCCATCACTTTGGCAGGTTCCGTTCGGAGCAGCTTGCCATCCAGGACCAGGATCTGCAAGGAGCAGGGCAGGGTGGTGAGATGCTGCTGGCTCCCAGCCCTGTTCTTCCAGGGCAAGATGGTACCTTCATCACAGCTCTTTGGGGTGTTGCTGCTGTCAGAGTGGGGTGCTCCCATCCCTACCTGGTTGGCATGGTAGCTGTTCAGCCAGCGCTCGATGTGGGTGGCGTACCAGCCCGGCACCAGGCAGCGGTTCTGCAGGGTCCGGAGCTTCGGAGCAGCCTCAGGTCCTGCTGTGATCACCTCGTGGAAGGTGTATTTCAGGGCAACTGGGTCATCGTGAGCTCGCTGGTGCTGTCATGTATGAGCAAGGAAGGTTTGTTTCTGGAGCAACCCAAACTCTGGGCTGCCCATGAGGCACTACAGGCCACCACACTGTGTCCTCACGTGTCTTGTTCAGCCAAAAAATGCAGCACACGTAACCACCCACCTCCCAAATCAAACCAACCAAAGGAAGCCCCCTGTCCCACTGCCCCACGGGGCTGCCCAAGCCAGGGGACAGGCAGAGGAGGGTGGCTCACCTGATACCAGGAGTAGGCTCGATCTGCAGGGTTGATGAGGATGGTGATGACTTTGGCCTTGGAGAGCAGGGCTGCAGCTCGCCGGGGAGCCACTTCTGAGTCAAAGTAGTTGGCACTTTTCTCAAAGTAGAAGTCAGAGGTGGTGTTGGAGGGGATGGGGAAGAACTCCATGTACCTGGGGAGGCACCAAGTGAGGCAGGGAGGCGGGCACCTCAACGTGTCCCCAGCACTTCCCTTGCAGGTGGCATCTCAGACACTCTGTACCATGCAGGGTCACCCCAGGTCTGACACACTGCCTGGGGGCCCTCAAGTCCCTCCATAATGGCTGGAGGGCCACGACTCTCCAGATCACCCAGGCAGATCCCAAAACCAAGAGGCAGCAGAGAAACACAAGCCCAGCTTCTGCCAATGGCACTTCTGAGTCCTGGCAAGTGGCCTTTGCCTTATGTACAACACCTCAGAGATAAACCATGGTGATGTAACAGTCCAAAAGCACAGACCAGAGCCTGTGCAGGATCTGTCCCCCCTTGCAGCACCCAGGTGCTTTCTGCCAAGAGCCCACTGACTACAAGGCTTATGGGAAACCCCAAAGTACTGTTGCTGTGGTTCCCAAAGGAACCAGTGCTCCCAGCACAGCCTCCAAAATGGGGGGACCTACCAGTCAATGCCCTTGTGATAGTTGTGTCCATTGAAGAACTGTATCTCCTCAAAGGTCTCTGAGCTGGGGTAGTTGCTGCTCAGGTCTGGGTGCATGCCCAAGAAGAGATATAGGGCAGTCGTTCCTTCAGACAGAGAGAAATCAAGATTTGGGCCAAACGGCTCCCCAGGCTCCACTTCAGGACAGGAGGGTTGAGAGGGACTCTCCGGAGTGTGCAGGGGACCCTGCAAACCTCCCAGCACTCTCATGGCACCAAGGATGAAGGGAAGTACCTGTTTTTTGAGGCCCAATGATGAGAAGCTTTGGGAATCGGTCACAGGTCTTTTCCTTGGACCAAATGTCTTTGTGACGCTTGTCTTCACAGGGATCCTGAAATGCAGACGGGAGGATTAGAGACAGTGTCCTGGTTTCAGCCAGGATGAAGCCAATTTTGAAGCAGCTTGGATGGGACTGTGGACCACTGCTCAGTTCCTTTCCAGCCCAAGAAGATGTGTGGGGATGCCACACTGCTCAGTGCTCAGGGCAAAAATTGGGGTTATTTCCAGCTCTAGATGGCAAAATCCTTCCTGGCACCATCGCAGAACCACAAAGAGGTGAAGCACCCTCCACTCCCCCCATTCCAGGCACAAGGGGTACCTGCCACAGTGGGTCCTTCTCCTCGGAGAAGATCTGGAAGTATTTCTGTGCCAGCTGCACAGGTGGCAGTGTCTGCAGCTTCAAGTTGGTCCAGGAGTTGAGGAAGCGGACCAGGTGCTTGAAGGTGTACAAGCCCAGGCGGTCGTTGCCGTAATTAGACAGATGAGTCATGAAGATGCTGATCTGAAGTGGAGAGGATGGAGCAGGGGTTAGCAGAACCTCTCCCAGCAGCTCTCCTAAGCAAACAGCTCCCATGCTGGCCAAGGACACTGGGGACATTGCCCACAGTGGCACTGGGGAATGGCTCTGCAGGAGACACCTGTCTGACTGTCCCTGGGCAGCCAGACAGCAGTACTCACGGGGTTGAGGAGCACAGTCAGGAACAGTTCACCCCCGTTGATGATTTTGTCCAGCTCACTAGAGCCACCAGGATACTCGTTGTAGAAGATGGTGTGTGTGAAGAGGCCACAGGTTTGCCGGGGGAGTACCTGGGCAGGAGAAAGACATGGATGGAGCATCCAGGGCTGGGTTCTCTTCCTCCCCCAGAATGCAAAGGAGGTCCTCAACCCCTCAGGGGGCAGGACCAGCTCCACTGCCCCTCATCACCCTTGACTTGAATCCTGATGCCCACAAGGATGGAGATGGACAGATGGAGAAGGCAAAAATCCTCCTCACACAAGCTTCCCCTATGTAGGATGAGCAGAGGTCACAGCCCCCTCCAATCAAAGCATCTGAGCTGCCCAGAAACCACCCGCCAAGGTATCGGTGGGGGAGGCAGAGGACAGAAGCACCAGAGATAAAGCCACCTACCATGATGCCATTGTGGATGAAGCCACGGCGATAGCGAGCAGGTTTCAGGTGGGGATACTCCTCTGTGCTTGTCACTTTGATTGACCAAACCTGCTTCCAAGCTTCGTACAACTGCACATGGACAGGGTACACGCCCGAGTGGTGAGGGGCCACGGCGTACCCCATGTCAGTGGGGATGCCATGCTCCTGCAGAGAAGAGAGCAGGGAGCAGGTGACCATGGAGGCCCCAAAAACACATCTCAAACCCACCTCTCTCCAAGGGACTACCTATTTCCACCTAAAACCAATCAATTCATGCCTCTGGAGAGCAGCCAGGGCAGGGCTGTGCCTGCACACCCTCTCCTAACCAGGGTAGTCTCCAGGAAAGGAAGCCCAGCAGCAGACATGCTGGGTGGATACTTGCTCCTCTGCTTCACATGGAACAACCTCATCCCTGCCATTTCTGCTGTTACCAAACAAACAACAGCAGAAAAGCTCTGGAGAACAAGGTGATACATCTACACAGGACTGCAAATCGGTTTGTATCAGTAGATACAAACCAGCCTGGAAATTCTGAGCTGGAAAACTGGTCTGGCCTCTAATTAAGTACCTCTAATTATCAGACAATGAATTAGCCAGTCTGAAGATCCTCCTCCTAGGTCATATGACTAAATTATTAATACTGGGTCTGACTGTGCTGTGTTTGTCTTCAAGACAGCTGTGAGCAAACCAGCTGATCAGGTCTCAATGCAGGCTTTATCTAGAGCAGGTAAAGGACAGTCCAAGAGGATGGACAACTCCTTACCAAGCTGAAGGTCAGAGCCTGCATGTATAAACCAAACATGTCCCCGACAGCTCTGCCTGCAGAGGGAGTTTCCATCAGCAGGAGCTTCCCAGCACAGGGACTCCTCCGGGATCCTGCATCATTGCCCAGCACAGCATCAAACCACACCGGGCTGAGCACCAAACCCCAGCCTTAGTTAAAACCCAGCACATGCCTTCTCCTTCAGAGCCATGGATCAGAACTTTTTGCCCCCCTTCTCCCACCCTCCCTCACCACAAGCACCCCCCGCCGGCAGCATCTTACTCACGACAGCGAATTTCTTGTTTAAAGTCATCTGCTCGGCCAGAACCGACTGGTTGTGGAAGAGGTGAGGCTGCATGTGGCTCCACATGTGGGGGAACCACCAGAACTCCCTCACGTAGGACAGCAGTAGGTCGTCACCTTCGTCCTCAGCATCGGTACCTGCGGGCACGATGCTCCCCGTCACCACAAGGCACATGGAGCCACACAGGAGCAGCCGGGGCAGAGGGAGGGGAGCCCCTCTCTGTGACCCAGTGATGGGGGGCAGCAGGGTGGGATGCCCCAGGACCCACCCGCAGCCCCAACTTTGGCCTTGTTGAGCACCAGTTTGTGCCTCAACACCAGCCACAGGGCACTGACAGGCAAAGCCCTCACCCTCCTCACCCGTGTGGAAGAATTTCCCTGAGTATCCCAGGTTGAAGGTGAAGTTCGGGATGTGGGTGCGCAGCTCGTTCTGCGTGTTGAACAGTGCCTGGGAGGGGGGAGAGAAAGAAATTTGTCCTCAGCAAGTGACCACAGGGGTGGCTGCCACACCAGGGCAAGGACCTGTGTCCCTGAGAGCTTCATAGAGGGGTTTCCAGGGGGCTAGGGAATACTCTGGGGGCAGGAGAGCTCATCCCTGGATCACCCCAGAAGAGGCACAAGCACCCAGCCCACCCATCACAGCCGTACCTTGACATCTTCCACCTTCATGCGCGTGCCCTCCTTGCCCACAAAGATGTCATCGATGTCCACCAGGATGTAGCGGTCAAGGGGCAGGGAGAGCCTCTTGCCTGTCAAGAAGGAGACAGAGTCCACAAAGACAAGCTTGTGCAGCCAGAAGTTGAGGTTGTTGCCAAAAAGCACCCTCTGGATGCCATCGTGGAGGCCCAGGTCCTGCATCACGGTGGTGTGCAGCGCCGCGTCCACGCTCATGTGCGGGATGGACTCGGCTGACTTGGTCTTGGCCAGGAGGACGGGCTCATAGGTGGAATGGTTGGACTGGAAGACAGTCCAGTCCTCCCCAGGAAGCACACCCTTCTCCACCTCGCTGGGGCGTGTGATGTAGAGCAGGGGAGACTTGGGGTTGATGCTGCAGTCCTTCAGTGCCAGGTTGGAGTGGAGGAAGAGGGGGAAGCCCTTCAGCTGGGCGCTCAGCAGGCTGTTCTCATTGGCCTGCATGGGGAGAGATGGCAGCTGGAGGAGACAGGACCGTGGGAACTGAGGTGTTGACACACCAAGTGCCCAACCTGGCACACCCAGGAGCCACAGAGCCCCTCCACAGGTAGAGGACTAAGGTGGTGCCCTCAGCGAGAAGCCTGCACCCCATGCCAGACTGCAAGCCACATCAACTCAGGCTGCTTGCAGAAAGTGCCCTGCAGGGCACTGGGATCCCAAAGTCCCCGAGCCTGGCCATGGGGTCTCAGTTCTCCCCACACACTCCCTTACCTTGAAGAAGCCAATGATGCCCACACCATACTCCACACAGTATTTGTCCAGCAGCTCACGATTCCAGGCATCCAGGTTGACATACTTGAGGATGTTCTCGTAGATGATGAGAGCAAAGCGTCCCCGGTCCTTGTCAGTCAGCGTGGGCATGTCCCCTTTCCCTGGGGCAATCTCTGTCCTGTATTTGAAACGACTTGACTCCAAAATGGCCACGATCTCCTGGCCCAGCTGTGAGTAGAGGCTCTCCACGAAGACCAGCACCAAGGGGTCCGTGCGGGAGGAGTCAGCCACCTTGAGGGTCTTCAGTGGCAACAAGCGGGAAGGGGCGACCTTGGGCTCATCACAGTCTGGCCCCGCCATGTCCCCGGAGGGTTCCAAGCCCCTTTTCCACCCATATAAATAATATGCAGAGATGAAAACACTGAGCAGGCAGAAGGCAAAGAGCAGGAGCAACACCACCTGTGGAGAGAGCTGCCGGATTCCCCGCCGAGCCCTGGCCAGCACAGTCATCCTTGCATCCGCGGGGTGAGGTGGGGCCCCTCTCCCCTGCCCGCCCCCTCCCCTCACGAGCCCCGGGGAGGGGAAGAAGCAACAACCAACCAACAAAAAAGAGAGGTGAAGTAAAATCGAATACTACTAATACATTAAAATACTAGCAGGCTGCCTGTGCAGGCGCTCTCCCCTCCCGCAGGCCGGCGTCCCTCGT